ATAAGCCAGAGAGGGTGTGGTGTTTTTGTTTTGCCTTCAAAAGCAGATGTCTTAGAGTCCTTCAGGATGCCTTCCATCTCTCTGATGGCTTGAGGGTATAGTTAGATCAAAATTTTGCCATGTTCATTTGCCAATTCCAATATTCACACTTACTGCTTTGAAATGTAATATTGCTGTATGTTGTTAAATGTTTTGCGTTCTTGAAATAGAGCTGGAAATTATTTAAAACTTTAGACCTGGGCTGTATCACCATGTTTATTTCTGGGTATTGCCCTGGATGAAATGGTTGTTATTATAACTATAGTTCCTCATAGTATTCACATTCATAGTGATTCAGGGAGGATTCCATAGTTTTCCCCATCCCCACCTCTCAAATCAACTGTAGTTTCCTATTAGAGTAAAGATGAGGCACTGGGATATGTCATTATCTAAAGTGGAGAAAAGGGGAAAAGAAATGTTATCATAGTTCAAATCCTGCCTCTGACATTCAACTAGCTGTATGACCTTTTGAACATCATTTTTCTTATTTGTTAAATAGGGATAATAAAAAATGAAAAAAAATTAAATACTATTTGCTGTAGCGAATGAAATAATGTATATACTGGTTGGTGGTTGTCCTTCATGCTTAAAAGAGGACCAAAAAGACATCACTATGTTGGGGTCAAGATACAGTGTGGCTGATCAAACCAACATGAGCTTGGAAGGCTCTACCACAGGGTGGGCACAAGTAGTCATATTCTCAGTCTAAAAGTGTTCTGTCCTGGGCCTTCTTCTCTTTTCCCTCTGTACTACTTCACTTGGTGATCTCATCAGCTTCCATTAATTTAAGTGCCATCTCTGTGCTCTAACCTCTCTGCTGACCTCCAAACTCCCATTTTAAACTGCCTTTCAGACATCTTGAGTTGAATGTCCAGTAGATAACTTACACACAGCAGGTTGAAAACAGAATTCATTAAGCCACCTTCCCTTCCTAACTTCCTCATTATTGTCAAGGATAACAACATCCTCCCATCTGTCAGGCTCACAAGCTAGGTGTCATCCTTGACTTCTTTCTGTCTCTCATACCCCATATACAATCTGTTGCTAAGGCCTGTTGATTTCACCTTTGCAGCATCTCTTGAATATGCCCTCCTTCTCTACTCTGATACTGCTACCACCCTGGCACAGGTCCTCATCATCTCATGCCTGGACTATTGCAACAGCCTGCTGGTGGGGATACCTTCCTTAAGTGTCTCCTCACTTTAATCTACCCTCCATTCAGCCATCAAAGTGATTTTCCCAAAGTACAGGTTTGATTGTATCATCCTGTCCCCACCCCAATAAACTCCAGTGACCCCCCTATCGACACTAGGATTAAGTACAAAATCCTCTGTTTGACATTCAAAGCCCTAACCTAGCCTCCCCCCGCCCACAATTTCTGGTCTCCCTAGATGTTCTTTGGTCTAGTGACATTGGCTTCCTTGATGTTCTACAAACGAGATTCTCAATCTCTCGGTTTGGCATTTTCAGTGACTGTCTCCTATACCTGGTGCTATACCAAGATACTCTTCCTTCTCATACCTGTCTACTGACTTCCTTAGTTTCCATCAAGTACTAACTAAAATCTCGCCTTCAAAAGAAATCTCTTCCAAACCCCTCTTAATTCTAGAGCCTTCCCTCTGTTAAATATTTCCTATTTACAATATGTGTGTGTGTGTGTGTGTGTATCCTTTAAATTTTTGTTGTCTCCCTTATTAGATCCTGAGTTCCTTGAGAGCCTGGACTGTCTTCTGCCTCCTTTTATGTTGCTAGTATTTAGCACAATTTCTGGCACAACGAAGCACTTGTTAAGTGACTTGCCCAGGGTCACACAGCTAGTTAGTGTCTGAGGCTAGATTTGAACTCAGGTTTTCCTGACTCCAGACCCAGAGCTCTAACTAAGCCACTTAGCTGAGTGTATGGGGAGTTCAGAGAGGACTAGAACCTCTATGAGGTCTTGCTAAACCCCTTTCAAGGCTGCTTATCCACCTTTGGTGTCCACCTATACCCCAGCTGTCACCTGTGGTTTCAAGAATAGCATATGCAGCGCTTATATCATGGTAAAGTCTCAGCAGATATACTAAACCAGGTTGAGGATAACTGACAGGCCTCAAACCTGTCGGTGAGTTGAGGGATGTCCACCTCAACCATGTGTGAAGACTTCCCCAGCCAAATGGGTGGATGAGAATGATGGCCATGAACACAGCTGAAGCAGGTGCTATGAAGTGCTCAGAAACCAAGTTATCCACTTGCATTGTGGGCCATCGCCAGTTGTCTTCACTTTTGTCTTGCCATTGGACTTCAGTGACTCTTGAAGAGAGCGTGAGGCTGACGACTTGGGCAAGTCAAGATATCACCCTGTAGTGTCATTGGTCCTCTTTAAAATGAAAGATGAATGAGACACTTATTGAAGTTTATTAACTGACTTTTTTTTTTTCACCTAAGTTCTGACTTTCTCACTGGGACGGAGATTTCCTATCTTTAAACCAGGGAGCCTCTGCCAACCCCCAAAGAGGTCTTCATAATTAATGTTTATCAATTGATAATTTCCTCTTTTAAATGAACTATGTATGTTTACTATTTTAGATAAAGATCTCTGGAAGTGTGTGTGTGTGTGTGTGTGTGTGTTTCTGAGGCTCTGAAGTTTACTTTGATTCATCGAAACATAGAATCTTAGAGTTGAAAAGGACCTTAGAAATGATTTTTTTTGTCCAACTTTTTGAATATTTTTCAGAACTTATTTGCATATATTTTATGTGTCCTGCTTTAACATGCAGAATTATGCTTAAATAGTACTTCAAAGCTATAAAACGTCTAGGTTGGTTTTTTTTGGGGGGGAGAGCATGAAATAGTATCAGTACAACTCACAGAAATGAGGCACGCCTGAGGCTAAAGTGAATCTAGGGGAACAAAATCGTTATAACAACATGTGCTTCTCAAGGTGGGGTATGGAAGCAGCTATTCTATTCTTTCCTTGAAGGTTTTCTTTGAAATTGGAAATTTGAGATCATGGATAGAGTGGTAAAGAATTGTGTCTTATTAAATGAATAAAAATAATACAAAGATTTTACTGTCCAGGAAAAATTTTGACAAATGAAAGCTTTCTGTTTATGATCGTATTTGTAATGAGACTGAGATTTTCTGTTAAGAATTTTTTTTTTGTTTGGTCTTTTTAATGGTTTCCTTTTCAACAAAAATGTTTTCTTCTTTTTAAAGGAAACATGTCATTATGCAGGCTTGTCAGCGGTTTTCTGTTTGGGTGCTAGTATTTATAGCATGGGGCCATTTCGGAGGAAGCAACTCAAGTCACTTGCTTTTTTTTAAAACTACATAACAAAGAATATCTTTGATTGACTTAAATAAGGCCTCTGATAGAGGGGGACAAAAGATCTGTGTTTATAAATGTTTCATGTATTTGCTGTTAGATGGGCCAAATAATTGGAGCACTGAGTTGATGGCAGGACTGAGGAAATTTAATTTCTCCTGTTAACCTAAATAAAATATATTGGATTGCTCAGGAGCAAGTTCAGGCGAAAACTTATTTTTCTCATCTTGTGCTCAGTGAGCACTTAATAACCTGCCCTTTTAAGTAATATAGAAATTGGGCATATTTTTCTTCTTTTAAATGCTACTAAGGAAAGAGTTATGGCAGTCCAGGATGATTCCCATTTGAAATACAAACTCCTTTGTAAAATCTAGGACCATGAGTAGGATGGGGCCATTTGGCTTTTGCCCCAGGTCATACTAACTTTCCTGTTTACTTGGATGCCACAGCCCCTTCAGCTTGATACTGGAATGTGTGCTTCCTTTCCTATCTATCCCTGTCCCTAGGGCACAGGAGCTACATAGCATCCCAGTCTTGGATCATGCTTCCTCCCTGTTGAGCAGCTTATAGTTTTGTTCCTCCCTTCTGACAGCAAAACTCCAGCCCCTTCCCTTTTACCTCCATCAGCTACCTACCCAAGGTATAAAAATTCTTAGCAATAGCTCTGATAAGCACTTATGGAGAGAGTTGGAAGATGGTTATGAGCGTATTACTTCATAAAAAAATTAATTTATGTAGGGTAACTTGGCAAGACCTAATTAAGCTAGAATACATTCAAAATAAGGATAAAGTTAGAAGAAAGAAACAAGCTGACAGAACATAGGAAAAAAATCTATAAAAGTTTCTATAATAAATTCTTCATTATGGATAGCATGAGGAATGAATGATAAATGGGACTAAAGAAAACAAGGATTCCTAATCAATGATTCACAGAGAAGATCCGTGTTGGAGGCAGCATAATTTTGAAAGCACTGAGGGACTGAATCTCAAGGTATCTGAAAAGTGGAGAGGATACCAAATGCTTGGAATTCTAGATGTTATTACTTGAAAAAAAAAACAATTGAAAACATCAATTTTTAAAAATAAATTGAAAATATCAAAGTGTGATATATCTAATTGTTTTTGTTTTCTCATTTTAAGAAAGAGCCCCGTTGCACTTTGGATTGAGATATATGAGATAACTCAGGATGATTGTCATTGTTGACCACCATAAACTATTCCCTATTGTTTCTGTCTTTCACCTATATAGCCAGAATTCTTGTGCTATATCTTTAATAATAACTTACATTTATATAGTTTACTAAGTGCTTTTCTCAAAGCAGTTGTGAGATTAATAGTAAAAGCATAAGGCAAATGATTTGCATTTCTATCATTATGGAGATTATAAATGGCAAAGGATTTAAATCTAGTTCTTCCACTTCAAAATTTAGGCTTTTTTAAAAAAAATAAATACTACAAGACTATAGTGGAAATGTTTAGAGGAGGAAGAAAGGAAAGAAAGAAAGGAATTTGCACTACCTGTCTTCTAGTCCTATGTTTTAAAATTCTTTCTTAACGTATACTACATGAAGCCCAAGTTTTCATTTGTCTTTGCTTGTAAATGAACTTCACTATATTTTATTCTACAACATTGTTCTCTTTTGTGTTCCCTCGTCAGGTCACTTTAAAGAGTTTATGGATTAACTTATTAATCATCTGCAAGATCTACAGAACCCTGGCAAAGATCAGTGTTAAAGTCCTTTTTTTTGGAATGTAAGTAGTCTCCATCCTCAAATCAATGTTCATTCCTGGAATCCTGTAAAGCTCTGGCATTGTTATGAAAGCCATTTACTTCCTTAAGGTATAGTAAGTAATAACTACATTCTCTACTCCAGATATAAATTGATTCTGGCCTTGAGTAATTTCCCCTCAGATGAATGCATTTTAATTTAGACTCTCCTGTAATTGATGATAACATTATCTTTCTATGTACAGCATAAGTCTCTGGGAATTTCATTTATAAAATAATTCTCTGCTCTTCCCCCTCCAAGCTTTTCTTCTTGCTTCTAAAACCTTATTCTGTGTTATGGTCATTTAACAGTCATTAAAAGCCTATACATTTGGAACTTAGCTGGAAAGTAATAAAGAGTTATTAATTATCCCAAAGGTACAGAATACTCTATGCACATTAAATATATTCCCTATACTCAAAGAATTTAACCTTATGTATATTATAGGCCATTTTAGTACTTTAAAATATTTGTTCTTTTATCCACATAACAAATCTTTATTGAATGCCTACTGTGTAAAATAAGTACTTTAGTACTACAATAATAAAAAAAAAAAGGTCATAACTCTTTCCCTTAGGGAATTTACAGCTCAGGAGAAGGAATGGATATGTATACAAATACCTGTAATATAAAGTAGATTATGACAAATTCTTTGAACAGACAAACAATATGCTACAGGTGGCTTCTGCTGAGTCACTGAGTATGTATGAAATTCAAAAATTGTGTTTGTTGATCTTATATTTAAAAAGCATCCTGGATATTAACATTAGGTTATGACAAACTTATTTCCAAAATGATATTTAGAATTCATGTGCCACAGCATGGTATATTGGCTGAGAGCTGGCCTTAGTCAAGAAGATGGGATTTAAGTTCTGCATCTAAAACATGCTGGTTATATGACCTTGGGCCTTTTGTTTCCCCCTTTTTAGGCAATTGGGGTTAAGTGACTTGCCCAGGGTCACACAGCTAATAAGTGCCAGATGTTTGGTCTAAGGCTGGATTTGAACTCAGGTCCTTCTGACTTCAGGGATGACCTTCGGCCAGTCACTTAGTCTTTAATTTCCCCTGGCAATTTTTTTTTTTTTGCTAAGCAATTGGGGTTAAGTGACTTGCCCAGGGTCACACAGCTAGTAAGTGTCAAGTGTCTGAGGCCGGATTTGAACTCAGGTCCTCCTGATTCCAAGACCAAAGCTCTATCCACTATACCACCTACCTCCCCCCCCCCCCCCCGGCCCCGGCAATTCTTTTACATTATAAATTACATGCCACTTGCTGATCAGCATCAGTAGAGGGAATCCTCACATCAATAAAATCACAGGTATATACTTTAAAAAAAAATGAGTTAGACTGATACTTAAATCTCAGAAAAAGTTAAGATACCACATAATTTACACCATTTTCTTCCCCCGTCCTCCAAATATTTAAATAATTCTTCCAACATTACTTTAAGCCAAGTGGCCTGATTGGCTTCCCCTCCCCCCAATGTAATTATGATGGTAATCCTCTCAAACCTTTCCCTTCTTTGCCTTGAGCACAATTACCAGAGTTAGAAGTGCATCTTATCATGTTTAAAAGGCAGTTGATGTGGGTTTAGGTAAACATTGGACTGGCAGTAAAAAAGGGGTTCTGGGTCTAGCTCTTCCACGCTAGCTTGCTGGTTACATGACCATGGGCAAATCACCCAACCCCTCTGAAGTTTAATTTCTTTATCTTTTAATGAAAGAGTTAGACTCGATGATCTCTAAATTCTCTTCTAGGTCTAAGATTGCTTCCCATACATTCCCATCCCTTTCCATCCCTTCCCATTCCTTTCTGTCCCATTCCCTCCTATGTAATCCACTTCACTGTAACTTGAATATTCAAATTAGGCAGATCTGTAGATTAAAGGTCTAGAAAGCCTGGACATTAGTGAATTCAGTTATCCCTGAATCCTGAACAAAGGACAAACTGCAGAACCAACAGAAAATTTGTTTTCTTTAAGAAATATACTGGTCTAATCTATTTAACCTCAAATTGACTCTTAGACCATTTCTAGATGGACTCAGATTATCCTTTGTTTTAATTAATAGTTAATGATCTGGCTTAGAATTGAGCAAGTATAGCAAACAGTGGATATTCTATTTTCTTACTTGTCTAAGCTAAAAGTAAAACAGAAGGCCATTTACTGTGATTTCTCATTGGATTCCTTGGTAATTATTTGATTTGCCAATATTTTTAGGTTTTTACTGGTGTAGGTAGGGGAGTAGGCTGCTTGTACAAGCAGCCATAAATAAGAAAATAATTTAAGCATTCCTTCTTATTGGAGAATGAATAAATATTAAGCATTTTGGACCCATTGGTTAAATAATAGTGCCAATGAGGGCAAATTTCCCAGTTCAGTATTTCTAGAGGCTATTTGTCTTCATGCACAGTTCCATAGGTGGTATACCTAACTGCAACTGGCAGTTTGAAAAAAATTTAACCTTAAATATAAAAGAAATTAAGCAAAAAAATTTGGGTTGGTTAGGGCCACCCCTTGCCACTGAAAGGCACATTAGTTGTGTTAATAAAGGTCTGGAACCTCATATTTATATGACACAATATTATTTTTGCCCGTCATGTGGGCCATAGCATGACATGGTCCCTTGGGGATTACATAGAAAATATCAAACTATTCATGGATGGAGTATACATTTCTTATACATTAGAGATTAAAAAAATAAATTAGACATGATCTGTGGTGTCATGGAGGTTACACTCGTGTGAATCCATCTGGTCCTGGGGATTTTTTTCTTAGGGAGTTCATTGATATCTTGTTCAATTAAAATGCAAACTCTTAAGGGAATTAACACTTGCATTTGTACACAACCTCTGTGACTAGCACAGTGAGTACACATGGGCTTTTAATAAAAGTTTATTAATTGATAGAATATTAAAGAATAAATATGTGTATATATATTTGGTTCCCTAAGCTATATTTCTTATCACTTAAAAATTATATCATCTGTAATAAAGCTGCCAGTGAGTATTATACAATAACAAGCTACTCTCTGAGAAATTATTCATTTATGAATATTTCTGGGGAATTATCCTTTTTGTGCCATTTCCCCCACTATTATTCTTCTGTCTTAAAGTACAGAAAGGAGAGTTGGTTTTAAAATCAACTTAATTCTTCGAATACATAAATCATGAAGTCCATGATAGAAATCATTTTCATTCATTGGCTGAGGGCTAACCATTCGGTTGTTGTAGAAAAAAACAGTGAGAGTCAGAAGGGTTCAAGTGTCACATAGTAGCTATGCAGCCCAAGTTAAATTATGTAAGCTTTCTTCAAAGTTCTTCAGCTGTTAAAAAAAAAATGCCTTACCTCATTCAGTAATTATGAACATAAAATGAGATAATTGCTTTAATAGATTTGCTTTTAGAATTGCTTTTGGATAATGAAGTACTTTAAGTATGACATAACTGAGTATAATTTATTAACTGGATGAAGTCTTGAATTAAAAAAACAAAAAAACCCCGGGTTCAAGGCTGGTCTCTGACTGACATTAGCTATGTGACTAGGCAAGCCTTTGAACCTCTGGAAACTCTCTAAGACTATAAAGAACAGTTAAGATCTTCATCTGTGGAATCACTAGTCCTTGATGTTGATGGAGTTGATCTTATTTCTATTCTTACCATCTGATTATCCCTTAAAGATAAAGTCTAAAATCTGATTTGATCAAAGTCTATTTACTTGCCTTTTTCTAGTGGGTGAGCATCTATGCATATGGTCTTGCCCGTATTCTGAAAAGCAGAACACTTTGAACCTTTTAGAATAGTGTCACCGTAAAAAACTCTTAGTATTACTGCCAAATAGCTCTTTTTTTTTGCGTGTGATAAAATAAAAAACTAATAATAAATGTGTTTTAAGAGCTCTGCTTTGATAAATTTTTGAAAGGCCAGAGTCCTGATTACCATTTGGGCAAGGATTTCTTTATTCTACTTCTCTCAAGTTAGAATAAAAAGTTATTGAATAACTCTAAATAGATCCTCATTTGGGAAGGGCCCATTTGCCCGATTCCAGTTTAAATTGGTATTTTAAGATCCAGTGAGTTTAAAATTCCATGTTATTAATTTTAAATGCTAGGCCAGTTTTATTGTTCCTACTTCTTTTATATATATATGTATTTTCTTTGAATTTGTAAATGGAAAAGTGCATGATGGAAATTTGGAAGAATTCATGGAAGTCCTTGCATTCAGACAACTGACCTGGCATTCAAAGCTATTTTCATAAAATTTTTGTACTCATTAGATGGTCAAATCTTATAACATCAATAGTTGCCTATGCCTCTGGACCAAAATAATAAAATGATTTTTGTTTAATGAACAAATGTAAAACTTAGGCTTTTTCTTGCTTTCAGTGATTTTTTTTGGTTTGTTTTCTGAAAGTAGTTTTTCTTTCGAAGGTTTCAGTTATCTTCTTGACACTTCTGTTGCTGTTGTCAATGGAATGCTGAAGGACTACATTCTTTTGTAACATTTTTGTTCAGCTAGCTTCCTAGAAGTCTACTAGCTGCCAGGATGAATGTGTTTTTTATAACATCACATTACAAAAATAGTGTATTGTCCTATAATATTTCCTGAAAAATGAGCTCTAAGGCTTTTTAAAAGAATAAAACACTAAGTTCTAATGAGTAAAAGCTTTTTTTTTTCCCTTGGGACAGAAGGATGGAAATGAACAGAAATTGCCTTTTGTAATTCCTTGATCTAGGCCAAGAAATCCCTTAGGAAATGATTGAAAGCATTTCTCTTCCCAGTTAAGGTCCCTTAGTGAGTTTTATCTAATGAGGTTCTTATTTTGTTTTTGTAAAAATGAGAATATATTCTGTTCATTGAGATTAGTAGAATGTAGTTCCTAGAAAAATAATTTCTTCCTTTAAGATATGAGGTTGAGCTATGGGCTATGTAGTTTTTTTTTTCTTTTTTAAAAATTAAAATTTTTTTCATTATGAAATTAAAAGGCAAACATTTCAAATACAAAGAAGAAAAACATAGGATTGTTTATGAACTCATGAATCTCTGTTAAGAGATTTTAAAGTAAGTGTTACATTTAACATGATAGTAATATAATTGCTGTCTCTTTCTGAACTTTCTTCTGCATATTTTAAAATATTTCATTGATATTTTTGGAGTTTTTTTTTTTGTTGTTGTTCGTTTGTTTTTGGTATGTCACATTACTCAGTAACTTACCACACCACAAATAAATAGTCAAGCAAAACAGATGAACACATTGGTCATGTCCTAAAATATGACCTCAAGGCCGCAGATTCCCCACCCCTTTCTTCCAAGACACAGGAGACATCCTTCGTCACTAGGCTTCTAAATTCGTGATTGGTCACTGAATTATTCAAAGTCCTAAAATCTTTCAAAGTTGTTCTTCTTTACATTATTGTGGTCATCATGTTTTTTCAGATTCCGCTCATCTCACTCTCCATCTGTTCATATAAGACTTCCTATGTTTCTCTGAATCCTTCCTATTTATTGTCTCACAATTTGTTTAGCCATCCCCACTGTTTCTACTTCTTTTCTATAACACGTATTGCTATCAATATTTTTGTACATATGAGTCTTCTTCCTCTCTCTTTGATCTTTTTGAGATCTAGGCCTACTAGTGGCATATCTTGGTCAAAGCATGGTTTATTGACTTTTGGGGTACTGTTCCAAATTGCTTTCCAGAAATTATTTAGTCCTATCCCCTCATTTTTTTATTATTATTATTATTTTTTTAGGCAGTTGGGGTTAAGTGACTTACCCAGGGTCACACAGCTAGTAAGTGTCAAGTGTTTGGTATGAGGCCAGATTTGAACTCAGGTCCTCCTGACTTTAGGGCTGATGCTCTATCCACTGAGCCACCTAGCTGCCCCTCTATCCCCTCATTTTAAAGGGTAGAATACTGAGAGGTCCAACTAGGTTAAGTGATTTTTCCAGAACTGTACAGCTAATTAATTTGTATTGATCCTCATCCTAAATATAAACAAAATTTAAATTCTTATATTTGTTTGTCCCAGTCCTATTACATAATTTAGCTTATGCTACTGTTTGTTACTCCCTCATCTTTATAGAGTGTGGATTGTTAACTAACATTTTAATTAATGTATAGCTAGTTTAAACAGCTGTATATGATGCCAGCCTTTTTTGTAGTATTATCTTGGGTGACTTTTGAATCATTTTAGGATCATTTTAGTTGATATAGACTTCTAAATGTTTAAATATTTTTGTTCTTGTAATAGAAGACTCAAATTTTTTGGATAGTCCCAAAAGTTTAATGATAGCAAATTATAGATGCAAAGTACTTCATGTCTTAGGGAGAGTTTGATTCCCTTCCCCTGCTTCTCCTTGTAATCAAAGAAAGGAAGAGATAATTAACAGAGGTAATAACCAAGTATAGTCCCATTTTAGCACTTAATGTACTAATAATATAATTAATAAATGATAAATTGATATATTAAACCAAGTGCTAAAATGGGACTATGCTTTGTTTATCTTACACAAAGAGTGGACTTTCCCAGATCAAATTTAAGAGAAACTATGCCTGGCAGTTGAAAGTAAAGCTATGAAGAGGAAATCCAGCCACCTGTTGAACTTAGATGTTGCGCCAGTGTGAGGCTTCTCAATAAGAACAAGGACATCAGCACTTCACATTTTGCAAAGTGCTTTCGCTTAACTATTTCCTTTGATCTTCACTCACAACAATCCTGTGGGGTAGATACAATTTCACCCTATTCTACAGATGAGGAAACCGAGAATGAGAGAGGTTTAATGACTTGTCCTACATTACATAGCCAGAAAGTGACTGAGGCAGAATATGGACTTGGGTTTTCATGACTCCAAGTTCAGTGCACTCCCCTTTACTCTACTTAACTGCCTCATTAAGAGGCCAAGCTCTGACTCTTCTGGAGCTCAGGTCACAGGCACTGATGGAGCTTAAGTTCGAGTACCATGGACTTTTGTCAAGTCCAACTTCTTTAGTGCAAGGACCTTGAAGGTCATCTCTCAGTGTCCATATGGTTAAGAGCGCTGTTACAAGAATTGCCACCATTCTGGTCATACAATTCTACTAAGATAATCAATCACTTGAAATCTTGAGAGGCTGGTTGACTCCTGTTAAGCAGGTTTATACAAGGCTGATAAGTATGTCAGAAATGCAACCAAATACCAGGGCTCCTGTTCAAGTTTGGCAGTATCTTTGAAGTTGTCCAGTTTTGCCAATTTGAATGTGCTAGTTTGCTTTTGTAACTAATTGAGTATACAAGGGGGAGACATTTAAAAATCCTTTGTTATCTCCTTACAACTTTAATTTTGTTAATGATGACTTTAGTTTTGGAATGAATGAATAAAGCATTTATTAAGTGCTTACTGTGTGCCAAGCACTGTACTAAATGCTAGGGATAAAAATTGAAAAGCAAGACAGTCTCTGCTTTCAAGGTACATTCTGATGGTGGAGGTAACAAATAGGAGAGGTTTCAGCTTCACGTCAGATAAAAAGGTCCTTTGGTCCTTAGCGAATAGAGGCACAGCAAATGTCAATGAATATTCTTTGATGTCATTTCTACTGATCATCATATCCATTTTGGTGTCAAACCGTTCAGCACCGCTATTGTTCTGTATTGTACTAGAGATGTTAGCTGTAGCAATAAGAGAAGAAAAATAATTTGAAGGAATTAGAATAGGCAATAAGGAGACAAAACTGTCACTCTTTGCAGATGACGTGATAGTATACTTAGAGCATCCTAGAGAATCAACTAAAAAACTAGTTGAAATAATATAACAAATTTAGAGAATTGCAGGATATAAAATGATACGAATCATCAGTATTTCTATATATTACCAACAAAAGCCAGCAGTAAGAGATAGAAAGAGAAATTCCATTTAAAATAACTCTAGACAACAGAAAATACTTGGGAGTCTACCTGCCAGGAACTATATGAACTCAATTACAAAACACTTTTCACACCAAGTCAGATCAAAACAATTGGAAAAATATCAATTACTCATGGGTAGGCTGAGCTAATAGAATAAAAATGACAATTCTACCTAAACTAATTTACTTATTCAGTGCCATACCATCAAACTACCAAATAATTATCTTACGGATAATGCTATTTTATAGAGCTAGAAAAAAATAACAACAAAATTCATCTGGAAGAACAAAAGGTCAAGAATATATGAAAAAAATGCGAAAGAAGATGGCCTAGAAGTACCAGATTTCAAACTATGTTATGAAGCAGCAATCATCAAAACTATCTGGTACTGGCTAAGAAACAGAGTGATGGATCAGTGAAATAGACAGAGTAGTAAATGATCATAGTAACCTAGTGTTTTATAAACCCAAAGACCCCAGCTTGCGACAAGAACTCACTATTTGTCAAAAATTATTGGGAGAATTGGAAAACAATACAGCAGAAACTAGATATAGACCAACATCTCATACCGTAGACCAAGATAAGGTCAAAATACATACATGATTTAGACATAAAAGATGATACCATAAACAAATTAGGAGAGCAAGGAATAGTTTTCCTGTCAGATCTATGGAAAAGGGAAGAATTTATGACGAAACAAGAGACAGAGAGCATTGAAAAATGTAAAATAGATAATTTTCATTATATTGAACTTTTATTATATTGAATTATAATATTTATTATATTGAATTATATTGAATTGTTTTGCACAAACAAAAACAATGCAACCAAGATTAGAAGGAAAGCAGAAAGCTGGGAACCAATTTTTATAGCATATATCTCTGATAAAGGTTTCCTTTCTCAAATATGTAGAGAACTGAAGTCAAATTTAGAACAATGCAAGCCATTTACCAAATGATATATGGTCAAAGAATATGTACAGTTTTCAGATAAAGAAATTAAAGCTAAACAAAAAGAAAAAAAAGAAAAAAAGAAATTAAAGCTATCTGTAGACATATGGAAAAAATGCTCTAAATCACATTAATTAGAGAAATATAAATTAAAACAACTCTGAGGCACCACCTCACACCTATTAGATTGGCTAATATGACAGAAAAGGAAATTGATAAATGTTGGAGAGGAAGTGGAAGTTGGAGAGGAGTGGAAAAATTTGGATATTAATACACTGTTAGTGGAATTGTGAATTAATCCAACCGTTTCTGGAGAGCAATTTGGGACTATGCCTAGAGGGCAACCACACTGTGCATACCTTTTGATCCAGCAATATCACTACTAGGATATCCCAAAGAAATCATAAAAATGGTGAACAGACCAATATGCACAAAAATATTTATGGCAAATCTTTTTATTGTAGTAAAAACTTCTAAATTGAGGGGATGCCCATCGATTGAGATGTGGCTGAACAAGTTGTGGTATATGGATATAATGGAATATTATTGTGCAATAAGAAATTATGAGCAGGTGGGTTTCAGAAAAACCTGGAAAGATTTATATGAATTGATGCAAAGTGAAATGAGAGAACCAGGAGAACATTGTATACAGTAGTAACAATATTGTGTGATGATCAACTATGAATGACTTAGCTCTTTTCTCAGCAATACCATTCTAAGACTATTCCAAAAGACTCATGATGGAAGATGCTGTCCATATCCAGAGAAAGAACTGTTAAAGTCTGAATGCACATCGAAGCACATACAATTTTCATTTTACTTTTTTCTTATTTTTTTTCTCATTTTGGTCTCTTCTCTTTCAACGTGACTAATATAGAACTATGTTTCATTTGATAGATAACCTATATCAAATTGCTTTTTTGGAAGAGAGGACTTGCGGAAAGGAGAACACTTTGGAACTCAAAAAATTTTTTTAAAAGAATGTTTAAAATTGTCATATATAATTGGATTAAATAAAATACTGTTAGAAAAAAATGATGAATGTGACAAATACAGAGGAGCGTGGAAAGATCTAAATGAACTGAAGAAGTGAAGTAAGTACATTCAAGAAAACAATGTATACAATGACTGCAATAATGTAAATGAAAAAAAAACCTACTCAGACATTGAAAATGAGGGTTGAAAAATTATAAAGAACAAAAATGGTTCAAAAGAAGAGATCTGAAAACACACCCATCCCATTCCTTTGTGAAGGTGGGAGATAGACAAGTATTTTACAAATTGTGATATTTTCAGACTTTTTCAGTATATTGATTTGTTTTGCTGTTTTTTTCCTCTTATTTTCTTCTTTTTGTTTTTAAAAATGGAGACGATACTAGGGAAAACTATTGTGTTGTAAAAAAACAGAAGACATCAATGGGTCAGAATATTAGTCTGTCCATACTTGTTTACTGGCATAGGAGTTTCTCTGTTCATAATTTGTGGGTTGAGAAGAAGAGGGTGAAAAAGTGTGTGGGAGGAAGAAAACATTGGGTTTAGACAAATTTTAAATTAAAAAATACCTGGGAAGAGGGCAGCAATCTATATACACCTATATTTCTTTGTTTTACCATAATCCAAACCAGCACAACTTGGCAGTAGGTAGGGGCCAAAATTAAAATAGACTAAACTTCCTCAGGTCGCAAATAGGTTTTTAGCAGCTCACTTTCCAAGTAAAGGTATAATTAATGATTAAACTATTTTGCAAATGAACTATATTTTAAAAAAGGGAAATTTCAATTAATATCAATTACACTTATTAAGATTTTTATTTATCATGAAATCACATTAATGTTCAAAAAAATTACTTTGCTAAGTGGTACAAGTGTTAATACATTTTTCAGGTTTTCTTATTGTTTACCTTTAGTTAAAGGGACATATTACACTTCTTGTCAGCGATTAGTTTATTGGACTCTGGACTCATGTTTGAAATCCATTTCTTTAGAAATCTGAAAACTAAGGGGCAGCTAGGTGGTACAGCGGATAGAGCACCAGCCCTGAAGTCAGGAGGACCTGAGTTCAACTCCAGCCTCAGACCAAACACTTGACACTCACTAGCTGTGTGACCCTGGGCAAGTCACTTATTTCCAATTGCCTTAAAAAAAAAATCTGAAAACTAACCTTAGTAGTTGCCTCATTTTCTGAGTTTACTTTCTTGACAAACCACTGTTCCCCACTGAGATTTTTCAACAATTTGAACACTTTAATTTGTTTTTCATCGGTGTCCAATTTGCTTAAGTCTGGATGTTTTGATTTGAAATGGCAACGAAGATTATATTCCTTTGGTACACCATTACTTCTCAGCAAACAAAACACAGTATTTTGTCTCACATGTAAGTAAACAAGTATCTATTTGTCCATGCCAAATTAAACACTTTATGTTCCAATTCCATCTTCCAATCATCCATTTTACAAAGTCACTCCAAAAACTTTAATGTTAGAACCAAAAAATCTCCATGACAACTGCCCACATACAAAAAATACTGAACTGAGTGTCTGACCTTGGAGACGGCGCCAGACACTCATGTAACTTGGGGGGCAGCAAAGATGCCCTCTTGTTTTTGTCACTCATTGCAAAGTGGGCATCAGCTGTGTTGAAGTGTGGCTGCACTCACTTTGTCCCCATTCAGTGCCAGTGACAATCGAAAACACAGCAAAAAGATATGTCTCTTGCTCCTCTCAGACTAGAGACAGAGGGACAATAGTTGGTTGCCACTAGTCACATGACAGAGGAGAGCGTGCACAGTGGCAACCCACCCGCCAAGTTACATGGTGGGCACAATAGTAACTAGTGGAAGACAGGGTAAGTGGGGCAGGGACAAAGCACTCGTTAAATTTTTTACTTTCTTTTACATCCTTTACATTTTTCATGGGCTGCCTATAATCCTTTGGCCTGTGGGCCCTATGTTGTGTAGACCTGTCATAATTTATAGTTACCTATTTACTCTATGGACCTTTGTGAAGAAAGCTTTTTTTAAAATCTTGAAGTGTTATATAAATGTCGTTTAGATAATACATTTTACTAATCAGAAATAAGAGTTGTAACTTAATAAGTAGTAAAAGAATATAAATCAGTAGTAAGGAAATGTGAGAAACAAAATTAATTTAGATGTATTTTATTGGAGCAAAAGGTGACCCTGTGGGGAAAGTGGGAGAGTTGCTATTACAAAGTTCAGAAATCCAGTGGCTTTGGGTCGGTAGATTTTGGAGTGTCCTGGGGTTGGACTCTCCATTCTCTACATGAGCGCAGTCTTTTCTGGGCTGGCAGTTTTGTGCCCTCGGCATCCTTGTTTTGGGACTGCACCCTCCCTGAGATTGAGGAAATGACTTGCTCCCTTAACCACCGAAGAAGTCGGCTTATGTTTAAACAGGACAGCGACTGTATACCTGGGGAAGGTGGAGGCTGGTCCTCCCTCTTTCCTGTGGATAGTGAAGAAGATTCTCCAGAGCTTGCTCTCTTGTTCTTGTAGCTTGGTGTTTCCTGCCTGTACTGCCAAGTCTCCATCTGCCAAGGAAATAAGGGGTTACGCTACCTGACAGGAGTGTGGAAAAGAGTGACTTTCCTCTTGCCTCATTAGAGTGTTCTGACAATGTTTATGAAAGGAGGAAATTTACATAGTGTTTCGCCCGTCATTTTCATGGTAGTATTTTAATATCTAATCCCAAGAATCTGCCTAGTTCATATTTATTTCCTTGTGATTTTCTCTCTAGTCCCCTTTGTCTTCATACTCAGTTCTTATTTTTTTCTGCTTTGAAGGATAATCATTTCCCTCACCATATTTTCCTTCAATACTTTCCCACCACCCCAAACTGCTTCAGTATGTTCCATCTGGGGAAGTTAAGGCTCTGTTTTGGGCTTTCCCACAACCACCCTTCATTCTGTCCCTTCCCCCTCCCCCCTTTCCTCTTGCTTGGTAGCTCCTCTTGAACACCTGTGCCCTTTGGAAAGTGATTTCCCAATGCATCATCCACAGAGTATTATGTATACTTAACCTCTTTTGTTGCTCTGAGCTTGTACTCCTGTGGCATGACTGGTTGTATATTTTCTGCCAGTTGAACAGTTGAAGAGTTTGGAGGCATATTCTCATCTAGGATGGACTTAGTGGTGGTTTTAGTGGTTTCTAGAAGGGAAACCGTGTGGGAATCTTTTTTTGGACGTGACTCAGGGATGAGAGTGTTTTCTTTCTGAATATCTGTTTCCAGCTTTTGAACAAAACAGTCCAGCTCCCCCATAGTCCAGTGTATATTTCGTTGTCGCTTCGTACCTGCCCAGTTATTTTCTCTGTTTAATTTACATTGAGATACTGAGTCGGCTTGGTCAGGGCCCAGATCAATATCCCATGCTAGGGTAATGCTAAGTTTGGAAAATTGTTCTGGGCTCATCTGAACTTGGCTATGTTTTCCTTTAGGTCTCCCTGTGCTTTCAGTTAGCCATGCTCCTTGGATGGGTGGAAGGAAATGGATGGAATCACCCTCTGGGACTGTTTCTTCACAGGAGTTTGTATCCTGTGAAGGAAAATAGCCTACAGAGAGGCTGAAATTGTTCTCAGAGCTGCTAATCTCTGTGTCAGCGCTATCACTCTGGGAGGATGGGGAGGACATAGTGTCCAAAGGGTCAGACCTCATGGCCTGGGTCTGGTCTTTCAGATCTTCCACATCTGAGGAAACAGCAGAAAGTTGCTAATACTTTGCTCCTGTTCTTTGAGTAGTCATCCATTCTCATGCTTCCTATGACTGCCATCCCATACTCATAGGAGTTTGTCCTCTTCATCTTCCAGGCAAAGGAGGCTACTGTCTTCCTTAAAAAACCTAATGTAGTGTGTAACAGCCCTTCTCCCTAGCACGTTCCTCCTCACATCTTACCTCAATTCCTCTTGCTGTAGTTTCAAAGGTTAGGTACAAGAACAAACAGTTTATATGTCTTTGATATGCCAAGCTCTAGTGGGAGACCACATCAGAGAGAGCAGCTTTAGGCTTCTGAGTTGACTAACTGTGAGGGGTTATGAATCATTTTGGATCCTGAGAGTCCAAAAAAGAGCTCAAAGTCCAACTGTCACAGGGCTAAGTTCTGGGACTGTTGGTTACCACGGCAACCTATTGACCCAAGGAACTAAGCAGTAAGTCAGAATAACTCTCTGCCAAGACAAATCACTGGACTGTTAAGCTATGAAGAACTGGTAGAAGGACATAGTATCAATTCTTTTGTTTCTAGCAGTACTGTCCCTATGCCATCCCAGACTAGTGAAGATCTCACTACTGTGGTGGTTAGAGTCTCTTCCTCTTACTTTGAAGAGAGAGCCATTTCATTTACCAATGGGGAGGGAAGTGGCAGCTTTGTATCCCCTTGGGGAAGCCCTGCTATATGAAGACAGATAAAAAAATTCTAAGACCCTTCAATTTGAAAAAATGAAGGTTGATAGTGGAAATGACACCCCCCCTGCAAAAAAGAATGGTATAGATATAAATTGGACATTGACTTATTCGTTGAATAGTAGGATAAAAAGACCCTTTTACAACCTGAATGAGTTAAGTTTAGGAAAAATAAGAAATATTACTTAATATATATCAGTTCCTGTCAGAATTATGTTGCTTCAATAAGTGGTTCAAGTGTGTTATCACTATTTACCAAGATTATTTTTTGAAGAAATTCTAATCTCTCAATAATAAAAAACAAATGTGTATGTAGCAATTTAAGTTTATAAAGCATTTTATTTTTGTCATTTTAATTTTATATTTAATAATCATTAACAAACATTTCAATAAACAACTAAGAACAGGAAAGAGAAGTATCTATGAATCTGGGAACTTCTATTACATAGATTTTTTTTTTAAAGCATATATTAAGTATAACAAAGTAGTAACAAAATTGCACGTTTTGTGTCCCCTCTGAACTTATTTTGGTTTTTCTTCTGTACATTTAAAACATTTTATTGATACTCTTTTATTTTTTTGTGTGTCTATCACTCTCCACTAATATGTTTGTTGTTAAGTTGTTTTCAGTCATGTCTGACTCTTCGTGATCTGATTTGGGGTTTTCTTGGCAAAGATACTGCTTCATTTTACAGATGAAGAACCTGGGCAAGCAGGCTTAAGTGACTTGCCCAGAGTCACACAGCTAATAAGTGTCTGAGGCCAGATTTGAACTCAGGAAGATGAGTCTTCCTTACCCAACCCAACCGCCCCGGTAACCCATCCCTTCCACCAAATAGCAGCCCTTTCTTATAAGAAATAGGTATAATCAAGTAAAACAAATCAACACATTGACCATGGCTCAGAATGTACAACTTGTTCTCTCCTTCTAGTAAATCAAGAGGCAGGAGGTATCGATACCTTCATCAGTCTTCTGAAGTAGTGATTGGTCACTGCTTTAATGAGAGTCCTCATTACAAAGTTACAAAGATTTTTACATGTATTATTTCATTTGGTTCCAGGAACAACTTTGTGAAGGTAGATAACTATGGGCATTTTTATCACCCCAATTTTATAGGTGAGAAACTAAGGCCCAGTGATGTGCTACTCAAGTTCATTCAGTAAGTACATGTCAGAAGTGGAATTTGAACCCATTTTCTGCGAAGTTTTTGCATTTATGCTTACCAGTAATCATTTAATAGAAATCCTTCAAGTTCAGAGTATTAATAGCAGGAGGGTGAATTTGGTGGTTAGTGTTCCTTCCTGTCATGCTGAAGACCGGATTGTTTTCACTTGGTGGTAGGGAGGAAGTGGCTAATTTTGTTTTTTTAGGGAGATTATTGTGTAAGGATGGCCTTAAATACATTAGGATTCTTCAACCAGGAACATGCAGGAATGATGTGGCTATAAGTTCAACTTAGATTTATTCACAAAATCTTGAAATACTAGGATCAGAAGATTCTTACTGAAATTCAAGTGAGTTGAGTTTAGGGAAAACAACAAGAAATGCTACTTCATATATCAGGTAAAAAGAAATTCCTTCTATTCCTTATATTGAAATTATGAGGTTGTATGTAACAAAGGTGATAGTGGTAAGGCAGCTTGCAGTATTGGAAAAAGAAGCAAATGTGGGGTTAGTAGAATTAAATTCTGGCTCTCTCTTACTGCCTGTGTGATCTTGTGACAAACCATTTCTAAATGAAAAAATCCTGTTTGAAAACATCAAACACCAAAAAAGAATTGCCTTGGTTTGTGATGATTCAGCATGAGGTTAGCTGACCTATAATTGTTCAGAAATACAGTATTCACTGATATAATTTGGATAACATGTTTCTTGAAGGCTCCTTCAAGTTGCCCATAAACTTGTCCTACCATCCATTAAAAAACCTTTCAAAATTGGAAGTGGCTAGATAAATGGCATGTTAAATAACCAAACAGTAATTATCCTCACATTGTTGTTTGTCCAAATAATATTATGTAAATAGGGAGTAAGTAGCAGACCTGGAATGAGATTTCAAATTCAGTGCTCTTGCCATTAGACCAGAGTTGGAAAAAGTGGATAGTCCTCCATGTGGTTAAGTGAATGTGTCTCTGCTGCTTAAGAGTATCTGGGTCTCTCTAACGGGTCCAAAAGCTATTTAGCTTTTGATATGGTTGAGTATGTGTGTGGTGGGAGTAGGGGATGAAGAAGGCTTCAGTCATCTCTTCTGTCCCACTCCCACTTTTAAAAGCTAACAGTCTCAATGGGCAGTCTTCCTAGTTAAAAGAATCAGAAAAATTTCAATTCTTTCAACCTTAACAGATTTATATTGAGTCAATTTTATATACCGTATTAATGAATGGCATATCAGGCATGCCTCGGGCAGCTAGATGGTACAGCGAATAGAGTTCCAGGACTGGAGTCAGGACGACTCATCTTCCCAAGTTCAAATTTGGCCTTAGACACTAAACTATCTGTGTGACCCTGTTCAAGTCATTTAACCCAGTTTGCCCTAGTTTCCTCATTTGTAAAATGAACTAGAAAAGGAAATTGCAAATTAATCAATTCTATATCTTTGCCAAGAAAGCCCCAAATGATGTCATGAAGAGTTGGACATGACTGAAACTATTGAACAACATGGCATGTATTAAGGTGTTAGGAAGACCATAAATATACTCTCATTAATAAGCAGGGGTGGAGAAAAGGTGGGAAGCAAGTCCTTCTCCATCCCTTATCTTTACCACTTACACATTCAAAAAGTAGTTCTGGATTAATACTCCTGAGAGCATGTTTTGAACCACAGTGAAATTGGGCCATATCTCAAAATTGTTGGGATTCATAGATACACATTTAACACATAGTAAATTCTATACATTTCTCAGAACTCCTTAGAATTCTCAATTAACAATCAATTAACAAGTATTTATTTTTATGCCAAGTACTAAGGCACTAGGGATATGAGTACAAAAATTATCTTGTCAAATTTTAGAGACATCCAAGTGGCTCAGTGGATACGGTGGTAGGCCTGGAATCAAGAAACATGTTCAAAAGAAAGATTTTTCCAGTAGCAGAACTGATACTCGTGGAAATAATAGAAGGGTGATGCAAAATGGGTAGGAGAAACTGTCAAAAAGAGAATATTTTTAAAGGTCTTAATTCCAAAGTACACTATGGTAATGAGTCTGACATATTCCTTTTTATTTTCTTGTCTAAATTCAAATGGTTCCAAGTTTGCTCATTATATAATTAGTAATAAGGAAAATGAAATTCAGAAAATTTGTAGTTTTCTTTAGAAAGAATGAAATCAAATTATATATTATGCATAATATATAGTATATATAATTAATTAAATTTAATATAAATTAAAATAATTAAATTAAAACTGTTGATCTTTTTTATTTTTTAATTCCACCCTCATTTCCAAATTCCACTCCTTTCTCTTCCTTTTTTGTACTAGGTGCTGGAGAAACAAAGAAAGTCAAAAGCCCCACCTCTACCAAGAAGGAATTTGAATTCTCTTAGGGGAGATTATGCTAGTGATTAGGAACAGCTGGCCTAAAAGCTTGGCGTCTGGAGATGGAGTGGTGTGTTTAAAGAAATAGCAGATAGGCCAATGCAATCTTAGAGGATGTGGAGGGGAAGTATTATAGAAAAAGACTGGAAAAGTAGGAAGGTTATAATGAGTGTGGTAATAGGGAGTCAGAGGAGTTTGGATTGTGGGAAGGGGCTGAGCCATGGTGTCTGGAAAATTACTTTGTCAGTTGAGTGGAGGATGACTGACTGGTATGGGAAAAGACTTGAGGTAAGGATACCAATTAGAGGGTTATTGCAACAGTCTAGGTAAAAGAGAGAGTGTACACTGGAATTGTGGCTGTATGGGTGAGGAGAAGGGAATGTTATGATGGTAGAAACAAGATTTGAGAATAGATTCGATATGTAGGGTGAGCAAGAGTGAGGAGTCAAGGAAAACATCAAGGTTGTAAACCTGAGTGACTGAGAGGACTACCTCAACAGTAATAGGGAATCTTGGAAGAAAAGGTTTGAGAGGAAAGATGATGAATTCAATTTTGGACATGTTGAGATCAAGATGCCTGCAGGACATGCGGTTTGAAATAACCAAAAGGCAGTTGGAGAAATGGGATTGGAGCTCAGGAAAAAATATAAGAAAGGGAGAAAAATTCATTTTAATAAAACTAACCAGTACATCACCAACTCTGACAATATGATAAACAGTATT